CAGAATTTCGGTTAACATTTCATGAGTTAGCTCATCTACTGTAACATGCGTTCAATGACTGTTGTGCTTTATTTTTACTGAAGATCTTTAGCTTTTTAAGTTGCTTTTTAAGTCAGTGCAATTTGACTATTTTTAGCTGTTAGGTCTTTCGCGTAAGGTTTGCCTGTCACACTGCTTTGACCGCTTAATGTATGCCTGGTTTGCAAGAAATCGCAACCTATCTGACAATATAACTTATGCAAATGGCAATATAAAGGACCCACTTTTCATCGGAAAATGAAAACGGTGTCCAGACCACCTCAGGCGTATGCCTGGTTCGCACAGTTTTACCAGATGTCAGCTCACCTTAAATGTGGTCGACTACCAACTGGTGTGTGCATAGATTGTCTGCTCTGTGAGTTGTTCTACAAAGGCCTGGCATGCCGTTCTGCGGTAGCCATGTTTCAACCTGTTACAAAAATTTGCCAGCCTTTCAGAAGGTTTGTTTCCTGTTTTCTTTTTCTTCTTTTTCTTCTTTTTCTTCTTATTTCTCCTCCTCTTCTTCTTCTTCTGGATCATCTTCTCGGATGGCAATATTTTTTTCCACCTCCAAAGTACAATGCAGTCACCGTTATGGTTATTTCGCCTTTTATTTTGCGGATATTTTAGTGAAAATATGATCAGCCATTCCTTACACAACCTTTCCTAGATCATAATGTTTTTACTTTGTGCGAAAGGCAAGGAATTAATGACCGAAACGACCATTTCCGGTTTGTTTGTCGGCATCTTCCTCAAGCCTGGCGCCGATAAGCAGACCTATTAGTTTCAGATGTCCGGGGGTATACAACTTAGCCGGCATTTGTTTTTCAAAATGCATTACACCAAAAGCTGCCCTATAATTTCCCAGATATTCCGACTGGCAAATTCAATGGTCAGACTTGCAAAAATTGTCTTGTTTGCTCAAGTTATAACTGGGAATTCAGTGAGGGCTATACTAACGTAAATAGAACACTAAAAGGCAATATCAGAATCAAAAGTTTAGTCACTGAGAAGCAGGTTTTTGTACATTGGAAAATAATTCTCTTTTCCACGCAAGAAAGCAGTCTGCCAAAATGTTGAAAAGGGATTTAGATCAAACCCATAAAATTGGAACTGCGCATTTAGTCTACAATGAGCTCCACTGCATAAGCGCCTATCGAAATAGTTTGTTCCCACTCGAGTCATTAAGCTCTCTCTCTCTTGGGGCATTTCGTTCTTTCAAGTGCAAGGTTTTCACTTTGCGGAGCTTCTGGGGGGGCCAAAAAGTCAGTTAAGTTTGATAATCACCCCTAGACAGCGTTGAAAGATTATCGAAGCATTGAAAACCCGCTAGCAGAATTTCTGAAAAAACCTCAGTGGGAAAAAGTTAATCTGAAAATTTTTCGTCCGCTCGTGGCTAAATTAGTTCGACTGTTTGCACGCCTACTTGTTTGCTGAATTTCCGAATGTGACAGCAGCCGCATAATAAAAGATCTTGTACCAACAGTGGACTGTATCCTTTGTTCAAATGCGTCCACCCATATCATTGACACTTATCAGCAAATTTAATTCCTATGGAAAATATGCGTTCGTTTGACTCTGTTAACTGGCTCCATCCGCAGTCGACTCTTTGGAGGGTTGGGACACCAGTGAGAACAAAAATGCGTTTAGAAAGAGTTAGTGTTTGAAGAAGAAGAATCGAGCACCGGAACAATTCGTTTATTATCCTGAGCTTTCAGACTCGTACAGGAGTCCATCGTCAGAGGTAGTGGCAGAAACAGGACAAGCGGCAGTTATAAGGCACGTAGACCCAATCCTGTTTCTGCCACTACCTCTGACGATGGACTCCTGTACGAGTCTGAAAGCTCAGGATAATAAACGAATTGTTCCGGTGCTCTATTCTTCTTCTTCTTCAAATATGTATACACCTGGAACTCGAAATTTCGCCTTCAGAGTTAGTGTGTTATGCATAAATTTCAGAGACTTGTGTACGCTGGTAATTCTCTAGCATCTGGTTCCCTGCCGGTGGATGCTCTTAATATACAGGTTGTAAGCATGGCTGCATAGTTAGCTTCGTCTTTCTGACCCGTTGTGGTGTTGTTATTGGTGAAAATCTGGTCAAATTTTTGCTATGGACCAGCAGATGTGGTGGTGCGCCCAAATGCGAGTCCGGCCGTGCCACCTACCGGCGCCCTCTCGCCCCTCCGGTCTTCTAGATTATGTTTTAACGCCGGGCCCAGATGGGAGAGGAGAGGGTGTTGTAGATGCTGTGCAGGTCTATTACCACCATAAATTAATCCACGCGCAAATCGCTGTGTCTTCTCTCAGCCTGCTGTAAAACACACACGGTGAACATCGTCGACAACAACGATCAAACTGCCAGTTTCACGGTTCGGAACTTAAGATACTGGTGAAGAACCATTCTTCGTAGAAAGAGGGCAGGGCGTGTATGGTGATGGCACACGATATCCCTAACTACAAACTGGGCAGTAAACTCTGGAGACTTCTGCTAACAAGAAGAGCTGTTCGGATCTCCAGTTGCGTTTAGAGCAAATTAGTCGCGTCTTATTTTGTAGCTGCACCTGCTGTAGAAAAGCTCCAGCCGCCTGTCATTCAAGCGGGGAATAATAGGAGATCTAACAGTAACTCCTTATGAGCAGAAAATTACTACCGACAAAGACAAGGGAGACTGTCGGTAATAACCTTCTGCCTATATCATGCGCCGCTTTACGGCTGCTGGTTGGGCTCGAGAGAGAGCCCATAAGGCACAACGGAACGAGTGAGTTCCGTAAGAACGATCGGTGAGCGCCCTCTACCACAGTAATTCCTTACCCTAACCCCAACCCCTAACCCTCCCCTTAACCTTAACCCCCAATCCTAGCGCTAAACCCTAACCCCTTACTGGGTGCGGCTACGAAATAAGATCTTATCTTAACTTGTAATACCAAGATCGATGGCTTTGAACAGAATGCTTCTAGGCCGGTTTCTAGAGCGTCTTTGGAACCGACGTGGATTGATTTTTACGGAGCACATCTCCATATAATCCGCATATTTTGAGAACCCAGATACTGAAAGCACTGCAGAGAGTATTCGATTTGATGTCACAGTGCATCTAAGTACCTTCGTGATTCAACAGAGTAGTCCTTGCTAAAAACCGTATTTTAGCTCAATTTTACACTGAAAATCAGATGATGCGTTCCTTCATTTTGAGTACACTACTCTTTTTGCATTTTCTCCATTTTTGAGCATATCGTGAGGACGCTCGTTTGTCTATTGAGGGCATAAACTTCGTTGATGTTAGCAATCAGGTAGGGTAGGTCTGGACATACTGACAAGTGTTGTTCATAAAGGGTCGATCGTGCAAGTGCGCGGCTTGTATTCGCCATCGACTATACTGCCTTCGGTGGCAAATTTGGACAAAGCGCAAGTAAAATGCCTGTACGCCTTTGTTGTAGGACCGATTTAAGAGAAATGACTTGTCAACGGTGACATATTTGCCTGCTCAAAAACACCCTGACGAGTGGGTTAAACGACTGTATACGGCGTCATTGGCAGCAGCAATCTCTGCCTGCGTTTGATTTCGAATATTAAAATTTTGTCAGAGGAATGGCGGGGTTTATCGCTCGTGCTGATTGCGCATATGGAAGATTTAATTACACAGCAGCGCGTTTCGCACAACTAGGACCTCGGTTTGGTATGCAGGCGGCCTTCTGTCCGACATTGTCCAGTCTGTACAGAGACAGATGTGCTGGGTGCGGAGAAACGTCTACTAGGGCTCAGATGAGATTAATGTTCTATCCACAATGGCGGACATTACACTGAACGCCATTTCACCGACAGACAGTACGCGTCGAGCTAAGAAGTAACCATATAAACCAATTCCTTCTGTAGAAGTTTAAATGTTGTTCTAATAATTAATGGTCAAGTGGCTTTGAACTGTGCAAAAATGAGCTCAGGCCGTGGGTTTTTTGGGAGAAAAAGCTTCGCTCAATATATGAGGCTGATCGAAGGCATGTACTGGGCTTAGCTTATGCCAGAAGCATAGGTTACCTTTCAAGCAGAGTAGTAAATTCGACAGTAGCGAAAATGTGATTCCCATGTAGCATGTCAAAAGCAGGGGAGCCATTCACCGGGGAGTTAAGAAAGGTCTGATCTTTCGAGTATCCATTTGGCTTACTCATCTTAAGGGACTAGAGAGTCACACATACAACTTTCATTAGAGAGTGCAGTTTTCTTGATGCATAGCCCGGCAGGGCCTCGACGGCGTCAAAGTTGAAGTTGTGCGCCATTTAAACGGCACGATTTATTACCTTAGAATATGGTTCCAACATGTTCATGGCCAACTAATGCTCCGACACCAGCGATTGCAGACGTTAATCGGTTAGTTAAGCCAGGCCTGTTGGCAACGCCTATTCCACTGGTCGCAAGGAATCTAGCCACAGCTTCGGAAGCCCTCTTCATGTACGAAATGCTCAGCCACGATTTTGGCTGACTATACTCTTCATGCTGCCTGGTTTGTCGCCTTCGGCTCCGTTCAGAGAAAGACCGAGGACGGTCGTTGGTCCCGAAATGTTTTCGTAGGAGCTTCATCTCGTCCAGTTTAGCATCTGGCCTGCTGTTTTGAGTTTCCACCCGCCGGTATAGTGTGCGTACAGAGCTTCATTTGTATTACAGTGGGTGTTTACTGTTGTGACTGGGCCTTTGCAAGGTGTGTATCGATTTTTTGTAGACTGACTCCGTCAGTGAAGAAGAAGAGTCGATCACCGGATCACTTTGTTTATTGTCCTGAGCTTCCAGACTCGTACAGGAGTCCATCGTCAGAGGTGGTATCAGCAGCAGAACAAGCGACAGCTATAAGGCATGTAGGCCAATCATCAACCGACTTTGTCAGTTTGGCTTTTTGAGTTGCGGCAAAAGAGAGCATCCAAGGATACAAGTCTGTCCTCCACCTCTTCTTCGCTCGTGAAATATAGGTAAGGGCTGATCGAGTTTAGCTGTTCCCTTTAGTAGGCAATTTTATTCCGACCGAGGATAACAAGGGTGTCATCAACGTAGGATGCCAGAAACTTGTGTTTGTACTCCTCAAACAAACGCTTTCCAAGTTCTTGCAAAACCGCCACGGCAATAGGCCCAGAAATTGGTGAACCCATCGGCGTCCCCTTTAATTGCTCACCTCGATCCCTTCGAAGGTAAGGAATTTATTGAGGATGTGCCGCATGAGTTCCAAGGAATACCGAGCTGTGGGCTCACCATCATCCTCGATGTGATTTTGACTTAACAAGTGAGTGAGCCATTCAATCGCGAAAGTTTCTGATATAGGCGCGAAACATAAGATGACCTCATATGGCACCATCCCCTCATTCCGTTTGACTCTAACTGCGTTTATTTTGTCGAGAAATTGTTCTGCTGAGGGCACTGTTGTTTTTGAACCCACGGCCAGGAAGCTCCGCTTCTGTAGTAGCCAGCCTGAAAGCCTGTTTGCCCTTGTGCCTCGAAGTAAGACAACTGGTCGTATGGGAACATCTGGCTTACAGTGTGCCACCGATCTGATGAAATTTTGGCCGAAATTCTGAAATGCGTTTTCGATTAGGAAGGATTGCTTAGGTGGGATTGTAATGCTGATTATCAAGTGACATACTCCTGTAGTATTTCGCCAGAATGTCGGCCTTTAAATGCATTTTATTTCGACCTATAGAAGTCACAGTCTGCAAAAAATGGCTACTTATGTAGCATGTATTTTACATATCGGTTTTCGATGATCTTATAAATTCAAATATTTTTTATAGAATACACGCACAAAAATATGCTTTCTTTTACTCGTTTGGTAGAAAACAACGTTGTCTTTACAGGTTATGCCCAAAGAAAGCGTATATTTAGGTTTTTAAAAAGTTTCTAATTATGGGGTTTTTAAGACCGTACGATGTCCATACATACTGCGTCGCACATCTCCGTTTACCAATTCTCCTCATGAAACGTACAACATAGTCCACATCCATTGCAAAATTTTATGAACTCAACACGGTATCTTCTTAAAGGCACAGAGGAATGTATGATTTTTCTTGTGCGGAAAGCATGCACCTTGTGGACTGGAATCGCTAAATAATAATGTAATACCTGATCTGGTCCAAAATTATTCGAGAATTGGGAAACTTTTTAAAAACCTAAATATACGCTTTCTTTGGGCATAAACTGTAAAGATAACGTTATTTTCTACCAAACGAGTAAAAGAAAGCATATTGTTGTGCGTGTATTCTATAAAAAATATTTGCATTTATAAGATCATCGAAAACCGATATGTAAAATACACGCTACATAAATAGTCATTTTTTGCAGACTGTGACTTCTATAGGATGTCGAAATGAGGTGCATTCAAAGTTCGACATTCTGGCGAGTCTGAAATAATACAGGAGTATGTCATTTGATAATCAACATTACAATCCCACCTAAGTAATCTTTCCTAATCGAAAACGCATTTCCAAATTTTGGTCCAAATTTCATCAGATCAGTCACGCACTGTATGTGCTTTTGGGAGACCGTAGAATTACGCATTGCTGCTTCTGTGGGTAGTAAACTTTCCCTTCTTTAGCCGAGGCAAGTTTCGTTCACCTTCGCCAGTTGTGGTTTTAGACTGGCGGCGTCACTGACTTTGTAGGACTCCCGATCAGTGAGCAGCATGAGGACTTTGTTTCGGTGGCCTACCTTGTCGATGACAACGGTTGACCTGGACAGTTTCTACTTTGGCGTCATTGAGATTGCGGGCTAAGGGAACGTCGGAGGCTGCAACCCATGCCGCGAATATGAGACAGGCCTTCAAATTTGATGCTGCCGAGATCGTGGGCCGAGACGATGATCAGGCAGGTGAAAGAAACCTAAATGTTCACTGGCTGTTCCGTCAACCGCCACGTTAATTTACCATGCCCCATCTGAGTTTAAGAACCTACTAGACTGTGGAAAGTCACAGCGCAGAATAACCGGGGTCGCCAATTATCTCCGCGATCAAGGAGGGCGGGGCAACACAGGTGACTGCAAAATGCGGGTACGCGTCAACCACACAAGCGACACCGGAGGGCTATGCATTAAGCAAAGTACGCCGTGAATTTCAAGATAAAATTCTGGTCAGTGTGCTTTGTAAACCAGGGGCTGTGGTGGTACGCCTTAGTGCGGGTGCTCGTCGTGCCAGCAACCGGCGCTCTCTCCTGCCTGCCGTCTTCTTTACTCTGTCTTTACACCGGGCCCAGATGGGATGGGGGAGGGGAAGAAAGTGCGATAAATGCTGCGCAAGTCTACCGTCGCTATCAACTGACTCACGCTCATGTCACCGTCCCTGTTCTCACGCAGCGGACATTATGTGTAACAATGGTCTAATTTTTCTGGTGAAAGTTTTTCTGTTCTTGTTCTGACGATGGGCTCCTGCACGAGTTTGAAAGCTCAGGACAGTAAACGAAGTGTTCCGGTGCTCGACTCTTTTTCCTCACTTATGCATACACCTGGAACTCAGAATCTTGCCTTCATTCGTGAAAGTTTTTCTTTCAATTTCCGCTGATGTACTTCACAATTCTGCGCTGTAGGGAATAGTTTGCAATTTATATTAACAGCAACGTTTCCAGAATTTTTGTATACCTACAAAAACCAATGGCACAGAAATCATGCTGACGTCTTGCCAGCCCTCCAGATCAAATGGTACTTTACTTGATGTACGAAGGGAGCGACGGAGAATATCCACGGTTTCTACTTATATATGACCGTCTGTGAGCCGGGAATGATTGCCTAGGTGTCCGTTGTGTCATGCTCAAATACTTCCATAAAAGACCTATTCGCCAATTCCCGGATATCGCATTCGCATAGCCCTCAGAATACTACCCAAATTTTTTCGTCACATGACGTGATTTCCCTAAAGATGAATATTATACTATCTGTATGTTCGGCTAACTTCTTATAGATGCGAGAACGACTGTGACCTTCAGAGAACAGACATCGACATATGTTTCCCAACTTGCGTTAACCAGCACGAATGGGGGCGTTTTTCGGAAGAAACAACTGGTTATGCAGATCCCGCCATGTCGAAAGACCGAAGGACGAAGGGAACTTTCGTATCTTGGGGAAGAGCTTGAGTAACTTGATGTGGATAAGATTTCCTTGACAGACGGCTCTGGCTATAAAAATGGGCAGCATATGTCGTCAGTTAACATAAACAACCCCTGTTTTGTTCGGCTGATGAAATGCTGTAGTAATACGAGTATGAATGACGGTTGCGTTACTTGCATCAAAATTCGCTAGAGAATGCTTCGGAAATGTGAAGTGGCTAGCGCACCACGAGGTTGGAGAAAAGTCAACGAACTTTCTACTTAACGTATACAGTTTTTGAAATCTACAACTCACTAGGCTACGATAATTGAACGCCGCCTTACGGACTGGTTACCCAGACACCATATTAGATTACGTAGTACGTCTAAGACAAGGATTAGCTGCTGTGATTTACATTTTTGTGGAACATTTCGTTTTCTAGTAAAAGATTGAAAACAAGCAGAAACAGCAGGGTTTACGGGTACTAGTAAATTTAAAGGTTAAGCATCAATTGCGAAGTGTTGGTTCGCAACACAGATAATTATAAAACTAAAATTATTTTGGAAGCAGCATAGTTATAGACTTTAGAACGTAAACATATCATTTCGAAAGACGCTTGAAAATATGGATGAGGGTGGTATCGAATAGGGATTGTTAAGACAATGTCGGGTTTATTGCCGACAAAGAGAGGGTAAATACATTCTTATACCAGTATTCAGAAGACAGAGTTGCGAACAAACGCTGCATCCGATAACTTCTCTTCAGGCCGATGCTGTTATATGGGAACGGGGTAAAGTGATTTAAAAAATCGATAAGCGTTAGTTTTAAAGTACAGGCTAGACAAGAGCGGATGGACGCGGAAAGTCGCATGTGATTAGTCAACCCATTACCACGGTAAGCGCGGAGCCTGAACGGCGTTCTTCTGGGCGCATAGGGTCGGTTTTCGTAACCTGATGGCGGCCGCTTCTGCTGTTGCTAACAGGCGCTGGCCCAGTAGCTTAGGGTAGCTCGAGGGGACTTTATAAATCACACGAAATGTTTCCGTGGGGTCCACACGATGCCTTGAATCCACTTCATGCGCAAGGATGGCGCTGTCTATTCTCCTAGCTTCACCTTTTGCTCTCGTATTCGTTTGGAAAGGCACCGACTCGTACGACTGATATAACTTGCTCCACAAGAACAAGTGAATGAGTAGATTCACAATGAAGTGGTCTGTGGTGACAGCCTAGCTTTGCCTTCTCCGCGTAAAATAGGGTTAGTAGAGAACCATATGCGAACCCTTGCTGCTAGGAAGGTTCTCGAGATAGCTTTATCAAGACGTCTTCTTAGAAGTACATTCGCAACGTCTCCTTGGAAAGGAACTTTGAAGAACACAGTTTTCTTTTCGGTGGTCAGTGTGGTGGGTTTTGCAGATCATTCGGCAATGTTCTTTGCAATAAACCTGTCAGGATACCCGTTTGCGCGAACCAAGTCCTGGATTTTTCTAAGTTCCTCGTCGATACTATCTGTTAAACAATTTTTTCTAGCTCTTTATGCCAAACACCTGACTAGAATTCGTTTATGTTGGAGAGGTATGAAACTAGCAAAGTTCATGTATTGTCCAGACCAGGTTTTCTTCCAATAGACGCTCCTTCGGATGCTACCGTCAGGTCTCCCGTTTAGAAAGTCATCTAAAGAAGGAAGCGAACCGGCCGATTCCATATTCAACATGTATTTGAGCAGCAGCTCCAGTTACAGCATATAAGAAGGCAGCAACGTCGGTTTCTGTGGTGGAGATCGCAGAGATATCCTTAACGTAGCGACCGTAATGTTTGGATTTTTCAATCGCTTCGCCAAGTTGAAATCTCTCCATTTTGCCCACGGAGACGTCGGCTAAGAGAGGTCCAAGAGGCGAGCCCGTAGTAACGCCGTCTAGTTATTTATAGTTGGTTGTCAAAGGGGATTGCGTTTTTTATGTGCACCTTATTAACAGTTCCTTAAATGTGTTCGTCAGCATTCCCATTTCTTGCTGATTGGCAGATAGAAAATCACAGATGTAATCAACTGCCTCGGTGACCGGGACGTTTGCAAAAAGTAATGTAACGTATAGTGAGAACATCATGTTGTCAAGGTTGAGGTCGTTAATGTTGTCAGTGAAATGGAAGATATCTCGATAGCTGCGTGGTGTCAGCTGATGTTGTATGGACTTGAGTTTCTCTGCTAACCACTTCGCTATCGCACGATACGGAGATTTCCGCATATCTAAAATCGGACGAACCGTTAGGTCTTCGGTATGGATCTTAGGTAAACCACATAATCGAGGGATATGTGTGCCGACTGACCGGAGGTGTTCGAGGTCACTGTCGCATATAAGTGTTTGTGTACGTACGGAGCTGGATCTTTCTGAAACCGTGAATGGAGTTTCATTCCATGCAAACTTCTAAGAAGCACAGAACTCTTTGCCTCTCAGCGTATGTCTTCAAGGTTTCTGTGGTAATAACTGTACGATTACGCGATTGAAGAGTGCAGCGTCAGTGAGCGCCCCCCTATCAACATCGTGTAGATCACGTTCTGCCTCCCGTATGCGAACATTTTCCAAGTAACTCAATATCCGAGCTTTTAATCCAAAAGGAAAACCCCAAGGTTCCTTTTGGGTTAACAAATGATCCAGGAAGAGCTTAATGATAGAAGGCTGAATTATTTTGCCTTCCAAATTCAAAAGACATCCAGATGAGTGAAAGATGACCTTTTCTGGTTAAAGAAGGCAGTATTAATGATACTGAAGCCTACGCTTTTGCAAAAAATGTCCCTTCTCAATCGCCTGACTGATCGTTGCCCAAATTTGACCACCATCGAAATAATCAGTCGTCAACCTTTCTTGAAAGTCACGGCTGGCAAAATGTGTTCCAGTGGAACGTTATTCCGCATATGGCAACATTTATCATCTTTGTCGAATTTTCCAAAAACAAGACCATGTCGAAGAAGAGAACGTACTTTTTGAATGACTGCCTGTGATTAAAAAAACCCTGAGCAAATAAAAAACATATCCTTGTTAGATTCGAATTTTGAAATAACGTGTTCGTGACCTTCTGCGGACGACATACAAATGCTCTCTGTGAATAGTATAAAAAGGCACACGATGACAAGTTTGCTAGGTCCAGCGGATAAGACCGTCTCTTTGTTAAACGCTTTGTACAGCCACTGCATTCCACAGAGCCAGTCCTGTTGTTAATAATCTGTCGGAAATTGACCTGCGAATATTAAAATTACTTGTTGACGACCCATGCGGCATCCCTTTCTCTAATAATTTCCGTATCCTTTCAAAGTCGATGCAGTGACAATCCCGTGTTTTAAGGCAACCAATTGCCTGTCAGCATTATTTACACCCTTTGTGGCAGAAAACATAATCGGTTTACAGTAAAGAACTTTAAAACTGAAAATGTACCTCAACTTTCAAGTATATGCGGTTTTGTTTGGCTTCATCTGTTATTAGTGGGCGCGCAGTCGGGTTTTATGTGTTTAGAAGATAATCAATGCAAAATTTTATAGTTAATATGAATGTCCTTTCACGATTAAATGTGTGCAGAAGGCGCCTTTGTTCATTGTCAACCAGCAGCGTGGACAATCCTCCGGAAACGTCATTTATTGCCAGAATTTTCTGCTTTTTAAACAAAATAGCTTTTTATAAAAATATCATTTGCGCTTCAAGTGGATTTAATAAGCAAGAGAAACAAAAGCCCACATATTCTTCGCTGACCATTCAGATCCCAATCACAAAATTCTATAAGTTATGCCACACACACATTATTAAACTGTTTATTGGAATTAAGGGTCGCTGTCCTCGCTTCTGTGCAAGTTCCCGAGAGATGTCAGTTTGTTCTAGCTAAAAATCCCGACCAAATATTCTTTGCCAAATGTAAGTACTGCGTCGGAAAGAACCACACACCCGCTCCTTCAGCATTTCAACACAAGACCACTTTTAATACGAGAATGGTGTTAGCGGGTGTCCTATGGGTGAATCATGTTAAAAAAGTGGATTATATAGTTTAAACTACGTAGCAAGTCACAGATTCATATTTTTGCCATTTGCCCGTCTTATCGTGCAAAGTGACTCTGAATTTAACCCCCACTTATTATGGGAATTAGCCAGAAGAAAAACTGCACAGTCTCACAAAAAATGTTTTGCGCATGCATTATTGAGAAAAGACCAGGTAACTCACTTGGGATCAGAATAGCCAGTTTATCGTCAGTCCCACTTTAAAGGTCTTCCGTCAAAAAGCTAAAGGTATTTGTATTCGTAGCCTGTTGAATACTGTTTAAATCGTTTTAAATTCTTCTTCGGAGTGCTCTAACCAGTCTCATGGGGTACAAATTAGTTTGGTTTTGCTAGGAAATATTTGGGAATACCTGGGATTCTTACTAGAATATCAGTCAAGGTTTTGAAATACTAGATTTCTTAGTTTGGAGGTGTTAGTATTAAAAAGATGCCCCCAAAGTAACTGACGGAGGGAAGGCTGCTGCCCAGCACGTACCTTTCCACGCACATTAATATTTACATTCCTAGCCGGCACACCGATTACTAGAAGAAGAAGAAGAAGAAGAAGAAGAAGAAGAAGATAGGATGTCTGGAACAAGAATGTTGGCGGCATGACGTTTAAAATTCTCACTCGAACCAGTCAGCAAAGGCAAACGCCAATAAGGCTAATGGAGGCAGGAAAAGCGGAGTAGTTATAAGGATCAACATCAACGTGCAACCACATGATTAGCATAATTCACAGCGTAGGTATTCACCATTGGGGGTCGTACTTTATGCCACGATTGCCTGTTGATCCGCCACCACCCCAGCCGTTAATGGCCGTGATTACGTCACCGTTGTGGATCCTTTACCTGACGCTTACTCAGCCATTTGGGTCGCTGCATCGGAACTTCTGGTCGCCCCCACCCAGGTAAAATCTCAGCCTAGAATACGAGACTGAGAGTTCATTACGCTTGATAATTGATAACGGACTGGAGAACGATGGTTAAAGCAGCGCACGGCGTACGCGAAATTGTAGTCTCTTGGGAGACTTTTGACCCTATCAAACTTAAGGGCGTGGCTGGCCCCAATTTTAGAGCATGAATTACTCCTTCTTACTGCTGCTGCTGCTGCTGCTGCTGCTGCTGCTGCTGCTGCTGCTGCTGCTGCTGCTGCTGCTGCTGCTGCTGCTCTATGTTCGGCATGCGTCCTTGAAGTAGTTTTCCTGTTTGTCAGACGACATCACTTTGTTCGTAACTGCTCCGGATCTGATTAACGACTCTAGACGTTTCCTGTTGTGGCAGTGGGACTTTCGGCCTCATTACTTGGTGTCTGATGGTTGCCGCTGGCCTGTGAACAAACACAATTTCAAGTAGTGTGAGATGGTGCCTGAGGCCTCTCGAGGCTTTCTTGAAGTAGAGCACTGTTCGTCAAAATCGGAGGCTGGTTGAATTTTGTCCCTCGTCACGTTTACGCATACACTGCCTGATGAAGCTGTACGCGTGGTTACCCGAGCAAAATCATTGCGGAAGTCGTCAGTCGGAGCAACAGGCAAATGCACCCCCATTTCAAGCGATCTCCCTTCCTTCTTCTGAGCACTTTTAATGCAATGTGTATAAACCTTATCCACGGCGTGTACCTGCATCTAGGTGTGGTACCACACCCCCAGTTTCGTGCAGTTATTATGGGTGCGCATTTCCGACCACACCTGCCGGACACCATTCTAGCCTCTGTGTTAGTCCAGCGCATCTAAGGTATAGCTAAATTTAAAGTGAAAGATTTCGGCAATTAGGAACTCAACTGCAAACAAACATACCATTTCATCAATTATGACTCCTAGCAGTGAAAAGGCGGGCTACTAATTGTATTAGGCATATGGTTGCTTAGCAACCGCGGCCTATAAATACTGCGCAAATTTTCCCCGTCAACCTTGTCTGTCACCGCCTCTGATGATGGCTTCGAGTGATAATCCGAAAAAAAAGGGATAATAAAGCTCTTGCTCCAACGGTCACACTTTTTTCTTCTTAGTTGCTTCCCGGAACTTGCCTTTTCATTTTCTTTCTGACCAGCCATTTGGACTGCGGCAGCGACGAACATGATTCCACGCAGAACATTCTCGTTATTGAAGGGCACTTTGATTACTCAAAGCGGACATCTTGTTGATGCTTCTTCGGAGGCTTAATAGCATCCTCAAGCAACACTGATTTAATTCTGCGCATCAGGGTAGTTTCACGAAATATGTGTGCATAGTAATTAAGTAGACTTGTCTGTGAGTAATCAGTAAAAATTCCTGACAAGTCCTGATTGTGGGTAAAAAAATTGATTCAACGTTTACGATTTTCTGTTCAGGGCGCATTTTCTGGCAAACAGTTTTGAAAAAAGCTCCTGTGTAGTTTTGCTCTTCGGGCATTCGGAGCCTTCGGTATTTTTTCCTTTAAGCAGACAAGTTCAACTGCTAGCATAATCTGGTTCTTTATTCGTCAAAGTCGATTAATCTCAACGTTCAAGCGGTAAGTTTATCTTCTCTTTTTCTGCTCACAGGCCAATGACAGTTCGGCCGACTTTGCCGACTGTGTGCTCCATAGCAGGATGATGGCGCACATGCAATTTAGTTTATAGTGATAGTGGACTTTCATAGCATCTACTGCACCCTCTCCTCCTTTCCAACTGAGTCCCGGTGTCATCACAGAGTCAAGGAATTTAGAGGCGAGAGAGAACACAAGTGGATGACACCGCTCAAATCTGCCTCTAGACATGCCACCACACCCCGTGGCTCCCAGAGAATACTGATCGGGATTTTACACAAGTAGACAGGAGTGGGACCGTTGAGGCCCCACAACGTGGGAGTACCCAAAACCATAATTATCACGACTAAGGCAAAATAATGATAGATAATTCGCGGTACTTATGGTAAGATTAAATTATTCAGAGGCCATGAGAACGGGGAAGTTCACAGGTTTACACTCCGAATAGAGTGACATCAGCAAAGTCGAATCGCATAAGGCGTGGACAAGGAGTCGAAGTCAGGAATTCATGCGTTTCTAAACATTTCCTGACGGTGCACTCAAAGACCTCTTTCCAGATAGCTGGCACAAAATTTGCATTAAGCAGATATATGGCGCGGTGTGCGGTAGACACGAGAATATGAACCCTCACTCCCTATACAAATGACCTTATGTTAAATTCCATAAAAGGTACCTATTTCTGTGTCATAAAGCTAACCCTAAGCCCCCCTCCTCCCAACATTTATCGAAAAACCACCTGTATTACGTGGTTGGGCTTCGAGGACTGTAAGCGTCTGCTATGCTATGATTAGCAAACTATGCCCTTACAGCCTAATGCGAGCTGGAAGTTCTCTGGCCGTTGGTCCCCTGTCGATGGATGTGCTTACGCTCCCGCCGGCTATACAGGTCGTGAGCATTGTTGCCCCGTCAAACTCATCTTTCTGATCCATTGTGGTACTGTTGTTGGTTAAAATCCTTCTCAAGTGTTTGTTGTGGACCAAGGGATAAGATGGCACGCCTAGGTGCGGGTACGGCCAGGCCGCCCACCTACGCCTTCTCCCGTTTCCAGTCTTCTAGACTATGTCTTGACATTGGGCCCAGGTGGGGGGGCAGGATAGCAACGTAAATCTTACACCACCATGAACTAAATCATGAACGAGTCCCTATGCCTGCTTCACCTTGCTGTGGAGCACACGGTGGGCACGACAGTTGAACTTTCTCGTGTTTCTGGTAATTGCAGATACCGCCCCGCAAATCTAATTTTTCGGTTCCTTTCCTTGTCGCCGCATCAGGGACGTGCTTTAAGTTTTATGCTTATGTGTTTCAGTTTTCTGAGCGCACAAGCGCGCAGTCATTATTTTGATGGCTGTCGAAAATCAGCTATTCTGCCTGGTTCGCCTAACAACCTACTGCTTACTAAATTTCAAAGACCAGTATGTAACTGCCAGATAAACTTCTCGCAGCTACTCGGGTTGCTTTGGCGAGCAGATATTATCAAAAATCTAATCAGGACATTTTAACAACTCTAAGGACATGCGTAACTGGGAAAAGGGCACAATAAATTGTCAGAATGTTAGCACTCACTAAAATTTCCGGCGCATCGTAAAATAAAATAACTGGTTTTTGCGAAGTCATTTAAGAGTATGCACTATCCCCCTCTTTCAGTTCCGCGTGTACCTAGCCCAAAACCGAGAACTCATCTTCCGCTTGCAATGTCTGGTAGAATACTAGATGGCCGTTTTTGATTTCTTGCAAACTCTCTGCTTCTTAAACCAATATTGCCTGCATACTGTAACAAAAAGTCGGCCTGGGAGGAAATAATGATTTAATCACCGAATTCGCAGATTGCATTCATTTAGCCTGAAGTTCCGCTTAAGTTGGATTCCAAAGTACAATTTTTTGTTCGATTTTTCTTCCCATCGTGACCTTGCATGCCATGATAAGTAAAACGTTTGTGGTACTTTATCGTTTCACACTACTAAGGATATTTTAGTCCGTTTTAGATCGCCCATGCTGAAGCTCATTTTGTTCTTTGTATGGTTCAAGTCGGACAAAAAAGACCAGTTATGGACTAATTATGGACATCTCCGCAAATTTCCCAGAGGCGAAGAAATCCAAGAAGTCTGAAGCCCAAGAAAAAATATTTATTGTTTCTTTTCCTTGATTGTTGTCCAAATACTTTCCGAAGGAAATAAGAGAAACGGCTTGGTGGCTGAGAACAGCTATAACCCATCTTTTAAATTTCTCGTCTGTAATTTTTCGAAATTTTTCTCGGATATCATAGCTTGATCAGGTTCCGCCTGACGGGCGGTTGATTGTTCGTGACCTCTGTAAGCCACATGAGGTCAGTTTGCTCCAAGAAGCTAATAGGGTTGGTGTTTGTCCATTCTAACGGGATAAAATATGACTTCTGAAGCGGCTGATGATGTCGGGCAACTCTGCATTCATGGACTTTTAACTGATTATGTGTTTCTGAATCGACTAACAGACTACGTCTGTGGCCATCTGCATTGGGTGTGTACCCCCATTTGTGTTTCACTCCAAAAAGGGTGTCAAGGTTGTAATTGACTGAATGAAGGCAGAATAATTTCCAAATAACACCATGTTAATCTGCTTACGTCTTCATCGACTCGCCCTCTAGAGCAGGCCAAATTTTTGCAGTAGTACTATGCCCTGCAATTTCAAGCCCTGACAAAGTCATCAGAAAAAAACAAAGATAAAAATAAGATATACCTGAAAAACACCGATGTGCAGCTTAGTGAAGTAGAGGGCAGCTAAATAAAACGCATGTTAAGGCGAAAAGCCCCTTGACTCTGTCCTACCAGGAACAATGTCACCATTGTAACAAAATACCGGCATTCTTCGGGTTAAATAAAGTGATACCTCCAAAGCCATCTGCCATCATTCAGAAGACAACTCCGCCAGACTCTCCTTTGTCACTGCATACATACATTTTGCTTTTTGCCACACGGACACCCGAAAGTACTTTAAGCATGGAAATGTAGCGCGGAACACGGATGCGTACTTCCCCCCTCCAATCAAGGTAAGTCGTCAAGCGATATCCCCAAACGGCTGAGTATTCTCGATCAGAGGAGTCGTGGCATGGGGCCTCAAAAGTTCGGCGAGCAAGTGACTTGAATTAAATTCCCAGGCATTCATCTTTGGGCCGTGGTGCACATGCCAGGGGATGCCAGTTTAGCTGAAAACGACTGCGCCAGTCTTACTGAGATTTATCGGCAACATTTACCCCATCAAACGTTCCTAATTCATTGGCTTTTGCAATAACCACAGCATCTTCTCTTCTGCTTACATATAGAGTGTTTTTACCAAAGTTGTGAATAAAAAGGCCGTTGGAGGGCCTCTGTCACCTTGTCCATGTAAAGTCTGCAATATCTATGAGAAAGAGAGTTTTAAAACCGCTCCATTATATATATATATATATATATCAGGTGAATAATTTCAGAAACTAATCAGTGCAGAACTTGGAGTTAAATCTCCGGGACATGACTTTTTACAGTCAGAACCGAAATTTCAATGAACATTTGAGTCGAAGACAATCAACTGCTGTGGAATAACCACGTAATGCCCATTCTACAAACAAGTAGTACTACGAGTAGTATGAATCCCATATGGTAAAGGTATTATACCGTACTCCCGACCTAGATACTTGATAAAAGCCCAGACACGTGTTTTGCCGATAT